ACATATACACACACACACACACGTATTCGTCGAGGATTAAACGCAGGCAATAATTTATTATCGTAATTAATCAAATATTTAATTTATGCTAATGGTTTTGTATACATGACAGCACTATTTTTTTATTTATTATATTTGTCTTCATATTTGCTAATTTAATTAAATTCTTTTAAATAAATGAGGTATTTAGCGCAAGATGATTCCAATTAAATTTAATTCAAGCAAATTCACAAATTAAACTTGTATATATTTTTAACAAGTTTTTAACATAGCACTTAGTTTAATCATTAGAAAATTTAAGTTATTTTTAAAATTGGCATATAGAGCAAGTATAATAAAAAAGCATAAATTTTTTATCTTCAGAAATGTATTTATATTTATGTTAGTACGTTTATATTACACATTCAAACTATTTATTTGATATTTTGCAATTATTTGATATTTCGTAAATGCTAAATGCATTTCCAGAAATTCAATTGCATTCTTAAGCAACATGTTCTATTATAGCCATCCTTTTTTAAATCTTTTGACTGGCTCTCGTTCTTCAAATTAGCCCACAAGAACCGAAGAACCTATCTAAGCGAGACTGTTTCTCGTAATCGAGCTGAGTTGAGTAGCAGAAGAATGGAACAACGAACCGGAAGTGCTCTCGAGAGGGTTTAAGAGGCGCCACGTTTTATGGAATTCGCTTCGAAGCAAGCGAGAAAGATTAAATGCGAGGCGGAGAAAGCTGTGATGAGATCTCTACGGATGAAATCGGCACTCCGGAATTGCGGAACGTGCGCCGTGAAGAGCAGGGATTTAAAATCGTGAATCTCTATTATTCTCATCTCTTTTGACGACACTGCGGAGTAAACGAGATCGCCTCCTATCGCATCCATCTCACTAGCTGAATATTCCATTTTGTGGATTAGAGGTGTGAGCCTTATTTATTTTCGGTTAAGAGAATTTTAAGTGCCACCAGATGTAGTATAATGCGCGATAATTCAAAGAGAGTAATGCACAGAATTTTATTTATAAAATTGTCTCTTATAGAACAAGTATTGATACGCGTTGATTTGACATACGAATGCCATACAGGCCGATGCATCAGGTGCTATCCAAGAAGAAATATCCCTGGTATGGGAAAAGAGTGCAAAATATTTCGGGAAAAACTTGACGTATCTTTCCACATCCGTTTACGAATCTCACCAATGTGATACATACTATACCGAAAACGCCTATCCTAAACTAAAACCTCCTCCTCATCCTCCCACTGCCAACCTTTAAACATTACTGCTAACATTCGAGATCTTCTCTCCATGGAGGTGATATATATTTCCTTGAGTATATTCATCATAAAAATGTATATTTATGTATACTTCTGCTAACCTGTCGCTCGGTTTTATATATATATATATATATACATATATGTATTCCTACCGCACGTCACCCCCGCAGATTCTCGTCGGACTTACCGCCCCATATATGTACGTCCGCAAAAGGTGCTTTATAATGCGTGCGGAACATAGCGTACATATTTTTCCCGTCTATGTCCTCCTGGTATGTTGTACCTCTTCGCAACAGAAGGAGCCGGTCCTTTGTAGAAAAAAACTCGTCGGAAGCGGTATTTAGCCTGTCAACCGCCATGACGAATCGCTGTGAGGAGAGCCGGCTTTAGAGTTATATAGAAATATCCCGTTGTACTCCGTTATAATATTTAGATGCCAACAAAAAATGCGTTTTATATCTCATACATGAGTTATATTCTTTACGATTCTTATTAATATTATGTTTAAAAAAATTCTATTTAAACGGAGATTAAGAAATAAGAAACGGAGATTAAGAAATAAGAAAATATGTTACTCAAATTAAAGACAGTAGGGCTAAAAATATGATGCACTTATGATAAAAATATTTTTATAATCGCGATCGTAAAGCAATATCCCTGGTTGCCATTATAAACCACCTATGGGATTTTCACCCCAGAGAAACAGGTGCAACCGGTCTGGGATACAACGTGCAACGCGTTACGATGCTTTCCCCATGGGCGCGCTTCGATAAATAAATTCGCCCACCGGATCTTACTTACGGGACATGAGAGGCATGCTGGTATGCCATATACTGAAGTTTGTTTAAAGGGAAACGAAATTTTGATGGAAATATAGCGTAATGAGAAATATTATATCTTTAAAAACATAATTATGATACACACAGAGCGTGTAGTTTGAAATATGGATTGTGCTAGAATTTTAATATCTCAATTTATATATATATATATATATATATATATATATATATATATATGTTATACTTATTTAATAACATCCCAAAAGTATTTAATAAATATTATAAGTAGTTTTCTGCTTTATAACAACTTTCAGATAATGAGATTAAAAATAATATAAAGATAATACACTTTTCTTTTTCACTTCAGAATATTATAAAATTTATTTTTGTACATTTTTGAATTTTATTTTTTTAAATTTATTTATTTAATACGTAATGCCATAAAAATTTAATGTTATTTTATGAAATATTTAACAATTATTTTATTATTCTTTAGATAGTAATAGCACATAAGTAAATAAAATATCGGAAATCATTTACACGATGCACTTTTACAATTTTTTATTGCAATTTATATTTTCTCACCATTGATATTGCAAATCTATC